ACAGATGCTATGAAAAATGTATTGTTTGTATTTAGAAGAATTCAATTTGTAATTTTCATGAAGAAAAAATGTATATAATCTGTAAATAATTTGAGATATATCGCATTCCATGTTCAAATCATTCCGTGATAAGCCATTAGGTTAGAGCAACAACGGCTCATCGCTTCATGTGTTAATTCCTATAGCATTACTACTTCGTCCCTAATAATAATATCGTGTTAAATCTCGATAGAATTTCTAAAAATGCAATACGTTTGAACTTCTCAATTCATACCAGTGATCAATCATTCATCATATGGTATAAAAAAATTGTCTGACAAGTTGGGAGAATGAAAGAGGTACAAAAGGCATTTACAGATTATAGGCATTAGCCACAATGATGAATGATATTCTAACTTTTTGCATGAATGATATTCTAACTTTTTTTTTTAGTTTGATGTTTTTTAGTGAATAAGGAATGCGAATTAATTTATGAAGCATAAATGATTGCATATCTTCAAGTTATTCAACGATGGATTTAACAAAAGTATGAAAATTTTGCAGTGATTTCTATAATTTTTATGAATTTAAATTAGAATACTTTTTATATGACAAATTTTTTCAGTGTTCAAGATTTGCAATCAATGGTGAGTCTTATAAACATCCAACCAATGAGCAGGTGAGTGAGATAATTTTTAAAACATTAATTAATTTTTGAGTAAATTTTATGCATTCGGTTCATGTATTTGTAGAGATAAATTTCTCTATTCCAAAATTTCTCGGAATTAATTCCTCATCCGTGTAATGAATTCTTTCACATTTCATCCCATTTATTTATTTATTTTCTTTTGTTCATTGGAACATTTAAAATTGTCTGCATTATTGATGGCTGTAGTTTTATTTCGAATATCAAAATACTGTTTTTTGAGAATTTCAGTCCTTGAAACTGTTCGATATGAACTGTAGACTAAATTTTGATATCGACTAATCTTTCTTATCGTTACATCTCCATGAAATGCTCATGCTATATTTTGTATAGCTTTCGAATTTAAAAATTTGTGAGTTACAAATTTAATTCAATTTAAATTTCAGTTGGAAGTTTCTTTTCGAAAAGCCGGAACCATTTCATACATTAATGAATGTGATCATGTAGATGTTCACAGTAAAAGAGACACTATTTCATTACACATGGCTATTTCCAAGCTCTCTTTATGGTATGTTCGTTTGTAGTGAATAAAGTTTATAGTACATTTCGTTTATTAATAATTTGCGATGGATCATCTCTGATTCAATATGGAAGAAATACTATATCGACACATTTCATAAAGCAGAAGAATTTCTAACTTTCGAAAGCTTGCATTCCATCTTTTGCTTTATTTATATTCAAAAATTTCTCATAATTTTATAATGTGTCATTTTTTTGTACCTTTTTAATTTCATCGAGAACATATAGTTCTATTCCACTCTTATAATCTCAACGTAACTGATTGTGATGATACTTTGTTAATCCGGAATTACTTCCAAGTATGAAAATAATTTTAAACAATTTAAAAAAAAGAAAAACTAAAACACCATAAAAACAAAACCTATGACTAAACTATAAAAAATTAAAAAAAACAGAAATAAAAGTACGTTATATCAATACCAAGAAAAGTTCAGGGAGATAGCGGAATGGCTTATTCAAAGGGAAGAAATATTGGATGGAAGTATTTATGGAATAGTTGGAAAACGTTTGGTTAAAGCTGCTCAAAAATTTGGCAATCTGAACCATCAAGAAAAGAAATGGATATTGCAGAAATGCTTGAAGCTATCCTTTCGTGGTATATTCATGCAACGATCAGGCTTAGATCAAAAAATTCTCAAGAGTCTATTGAAATTACAGAGGGAACTCGATATTACAGCAGATCAGGTTTGAATCACAGTATTTGCGATATGATGTAGTTCATAAAATTCTTTAAAGTTCACTCCTTCAAAAACTGTGAATCGTTTCTTTTTAATTTTGTCTTGTATTTTAATTATTTTCATTTTATTTAAGCAATTTATGTGGTTGTGCTTGTTGCCAAATGCTTTCAAAGAGAAATGGCTTTTGCTTGCTTCAGTAATACCTGCGTTGAAACGTGATGAGGTATGTCTTTTTAATTATTTTACGTATTTGTATCGAATCAGTAAATAATCATTTAATTTCATACGTTCTTTCCTGATTATTTAATAGAAGA